TGAATAGAGTGGGTGATGACGTTACACCATGGAATGGAGTGGGTGATGACGTTACACCATTGAATAGAGTGGGTGATGACGTTACACCATGGAATGGAGTGGGTGATGACGTTACACCATTGAATAGAGTGGGTGATGACGTTACACCATTGGATGGAGTGAGTGATGACGTTACACCATTGGAGGGAGTGAGTGATGACGTTACACCATTGGATGGAGTGAGTGATGATGATAATAAACCCTGTTCCTATTTGGCCCAAAGGGTTTAAGGAAGTATTTAAATACTTACTTGGTTAAGGTAAGTGGACATTCAATGTCATAGTGACATCGATGTTTTAAAGTTGACTGCCGGAAAGAAACCGGAAGCAAACATCTTCCCTCCTACATGGGAGCAAGGAGTTTCACAAAATGCACAGGTTTTTATAATTTGTTGAGTGGGAAAGGAAAGCTTAATGTTAATCAGAGTACGGTAAAGCTCATTTACACAAAAGCTATCATGGAATTAACAGGCATCGACGTGTTCTCAAAGACGATACTAAGTAGCACCGATAAGATGATGAACGTAATGAATGGGAATCCGTCAGCTTGCTGGTGTCCACTCCAGGTACGTCAGGAGACACAGGTGGCTCAGCAGTCCAGAGTGCGAGGGGTCTCAGGGGGTTGGACTTGGTGGTGGTTTACCCCAGAGGACGCATCACACCAGTCCAAGAGAAACACATGACCACCTGCTTGGAGGACAATGTCCATGTGTTTTCTGGTAAATCCAAAGAAGCAAAAGGACCAATTGCTGCTTTCTAATAATCGATCACAATCAAATGACGTGCGACTTTCTCTCTCTAGCCGACGGCAGCTCAGATGACATAGATCGGCCTCTGCGGCGTCTCTTTGCAGACCAGGAGCTGGTCAGCTCTCACAGTCTCATGAGCCTCAACTCAGTCAACTGGTCAAGAGTCATGGTCCAGCTGGCCCACTTCATCTACGCTTACCTAGAGCTCAGTGGTATCGAGCACACAGAGGCTGACGGAGACCTGCCTGAGCTGGAGGTGGTGGTGCCCACTGGAGGGGCGGGAAACATTGCTGGTAGGTTGATTTCTATTTGAATTCAATGTTTATTTCTCTCGAAAGTCCATATTTTAAATAATATATACTCAGTCTTGAATAGCCAAGTTTGAAAGGTAGGTGTCAGTCACGCACTAAAAACCTCTATAGAAATGCAAAGTTAAAAAAGCTAATAGAACACTAAGGGAAGAGGACGAAAAATATGACACAGACATAGTTTAATATATATGTAAACAGGCTCTACCATGTGGTTTATTTTTATGGCTATAGGACTATTTACTTGACAGGGGTCGCTTTGGCGTGGTTATGAAAGCAGTGACCAGGATGTCGTTGCCAGTGCTCTCAGAAAGTGCACAGAAAGTGACTTCACTGTTACTTATTACCTATTAACCAACACGTTTAAACCATTTATTTATATTCCGGGCAACATCACTTATCAACTAGCAGTCAGCAACTGAGAACTACCTGAGATTGTTGAGCATTCATTTCAGTAATTTACTTTACTTTACTAATTTTTACAAAAAAATCTGTTCAATTTAAAACAGTCATTAAACCCTCTAAGAGCAAAGGTTTCTTTTTCCAAATGATTCCACCACGCTTCCCCTAAGAAAAGTTTTGTGGTGTGTGTGTGTGTGTGTGTGTGTGTGTGTGTGTCTAAGCTGGCTACATTGTGAAGCTGATGGGATTGCCTCTGAAGCTGGTTGCCATGGTGAACTCTAATGACATAGTGCACAGGACGGTGACTATGGGGGACTTTTCCATGGCATCTAAAGTCACACAAACCTTGGCTCCTGCCATCGACATCCAGGTAACACAATCACACAGCCCGTAGTCGTGACTGCTCACACCAGTGACACTCGTCCACACATTCTTTTCTTTTGTTGTATCAATTTAAATCCACGTTTTGATTTTTTTTTTCTTCTTTTTTTTTCAGTTATTTGCTTTCTGTTCAGCCCCGAAGCAAAATATGTTCAGGCATTCTGCCTTTGCAGCCATTTGAAAGGAAATGGTTGTTTGAATACATGTGAATTCATGAGTAAATCTCATGACCAACCTCTGATCAGTGACGTGGGGCAGTCGGTACAATAGATTTACATATTTCTTGGATGAGATGTTTTTATCCACTGGTGCACAGATGGGGAGACTAGCGTTGATGAATTTCATACACAGCTTAAACACACCGCTGTTAGTTAGGTCAAGAGGCATTCATTTGAACGGCCACCAAGTGTGTAAAGGATCCGTTGTACTGACTTGTTTGGTCATTCAGTGTGCTGCGTTTTGGTCTGTAGGACCCTTACAACATGGAGCGACTGTTCTGGCTGCTGCTGGGCAGAGATGGAGCTACGGTGAAAAACATGATGGAGGAGTTTCAACAATCACACAGACACTCTCTGCCGGAAAACCAACGCAGGCTTGTAGGAATCATTCACTGTATACGTGCAGGCATGCTGGACTTCTTGTGTCTAGTGAGACCGAGCGTTCCTCTGCACCCTCATACAATCACTGTATGTTTTACTTGCAGTTGTCACACGTTTTATCGACTGGAACAGTGACTGATGAGGGGATCCTGGAGACCATGAGGAGATGCTGGGAGGAAAACCAGTATGTCCTGTGTCCTCACACAGCTGTAGCCGTATGGCATCACTACCACTGTCCTCACAGCCCCGGGCTCAACAGGTCAGGCAAAGTCCATTCATCTACTGAGCCACACACACACAAGGCGTTTCTGAGGTCACAGTGAGACATGAAGTGAATTCGGCATTCACTCAATGAAAAGTGTGTCACAACTCAAATGCATTATACGTGTTTTATTACGCTCAAAGATAGAACTAAACCAGAACAAAGGGCCACCATAAGAAAAAAGCCTAATCATTCCACATTGTAGACCAGTCACACTGCCCTAGCTGGGCAAACTGCCGCCCTGCTAGCAGCACTTTGAGGTGTGAGAGTGTGAAAGGTGGTCGGTGGCAGGTTCCTTTTTCAGAACGTCCCTTCACATGATGGGAAGGTGCCTTCAGATTTGGCGACCTGCCGTTCGGATGATGGGCTGTTCGAAGACGCACGGCAGCGCTGAAACAATAGAGGGACGTGTGTATCGACTACGCATCGACCCGCGTGCTATATAACTTAAATAACACGAGAACCCATTTGCGTTTAGGGACGTGAGTCGGACGACGTACACACACGTTGTTCCCATTGATCGAGTAGACTCCGGTGTTTCCCCAGGGTTACAACTTCATGGGGGGTGGTAGTCAGTCTGCTGGTGCTCTCTGTGCGCTGGTTTTTATTTCCAGCGCAAATGGAGGCGGGTCCACGTCGCTACATACCAACTAAGATCGGCTTGTTCCGTTCTGAAAAATAAACCTTCCAAGACCACTTTTTGCACTAGTGTGTGTGTGTGTGTGTGTGTGTGTGTGAGTCAGTGCGAGCAAAACGTTTACTACTACACGCCACTCGACTCTCCTCCAGTTTTCTAAGTAATGACTAACTTTCTTTGCAGGTGCTACATCGCAACAGCATCTCCAGCCAAGTTTCAGGCAACAGTGCAGAGGGCTGGCCTGACCTTTGAGCTGCCGGACGCAGTGCTGGCGTTGGACAAGTTGGCCACCCGTTACCAGAGCCTGGAGCGGAGCTCGAACTGGTGCAAAGACTGGGAGGACATACTGAGAGAGAAAATCCAGTCTCTGAGTTCAGCCAGGAAAACCAGACAGTCTTACAACAGCTGATTCGGAAAGCTGTTATTACATTACACGTGTATGAGCGAGGTCAATCGTGATTACATGTTCATTTAGCTGACGCTTTTATCCAAAGCGACTTACAATAAGTGCATTCAACCATAAAGATACAAACTCGCAAGAAGCAAGAAAGTGCAATTTGCTATAGAAAAGTGGCGTTACAAGTACAAATCACCGTGATCGTGCTTATCTGGATCTAGTAAACTATGTCGATGCAAAAGGCCTGTTGTTCCCTTTTTTGACGGACTTTGGCCATTCAAATGGTCTCTGCATTGCTACGGTGGTGTCATACACCATCACCACCACCAATCAACTGTTCACAACTTTCAATCTTCCTGCCACAACTGTAACACAGATGTAAATGAATGCTGAAGAATAAAATCAAACCGAGGTTTTTTGTCTCAAAAACCAGCCTTTATCTAATGCAAATATTGAAACATACCCTTTAAAAAGTACATTTCTTGCTATTACTAACTGATATTTACACTCCAGCAACACAGCTGAGTCCAGCTGTAATAACGATGATTGCAACTACACCCTAAATGTATTTACTAGATCCATCACCTGGAGCCATGACAGACTTCAGATTTCAACTGTCTGTTATTTCACTTAACTTCTATTTGTCATTTGTACCTTATCGATAGACAAATTAAGACCACCAGCAGAGTGAGCAATGAATGCTCTGAAAAAGGACAGAAAAATATTCTTATCAGTGGGATTTAATAGAAAGTACCACTTGTGGACAATCTCGTTAAAAGTAGCATTGCGGTTATTATTGCATTGAGATTGTTATTATTTCATAAATTATTAATTTACATTCCAAAATATAGCAGAGCAAAAGAATGACGCAACATAAATGGAAAATATTTAAATAAATGGCTCGATCATTGCGTAAAGCCTGCTAACATGTCAAATGTCGGCTGTGTTAATTATACTGTAAATACTGTGATGATAACAAGGGTCATCAGAATGACCGTCCGCCGGTCGGGAGGTCAGCGCCACCCCTCCGTATGATCTGAATGGTCTGGCCCGTGTTCGATCGTAGTCAGCAGTATCTGGACCGAACCTGACATGAGTTTGACCCCCGCTCTACAGTCTTTGGATGAAAAATATGTTGATGCATTTGTATAAATTGTCATTGGAGACGCTCAGACATTGGTATGGGCGGACAGGATGCGCACGAACGTGTTCAACTAGGTGCAACATTCACGGAGTTAGTTAAAGAGCATGGAACCCTTTGCTTTACATATTTGATAAATAATACTTTAAGATATTTCTTGAGATACAATCAAGTGGGTTGCAAAACAAGAGTAAGGGAATTACACACTAATACACAGATTTATTGAAAAGACTAGAATAAACGTGTCGGGGAAAGTCTGCCAATTGATCATAGATCCAAAACCTCCGAGGGTCCTTGAACGCAGCACAAGGTTTGACAGCTACACGGGCCAACATGGCGACTGCTGGTTAACGCGACCTGGTAACACCGTCGTCTTTTATTGTTACACAGCTGTCAGAAAACAACCAGGACGGGGGAAACATTCCCAGAGAGAGATTGTGAACAAGTGTCAGCCCCTGTTCCTCGTTCCGGCTTATTCTCCATCCTCTGCGGTAACGCGATGTGAAGGCGGTGTGTGAGCAACATTACACGGCAGTGACACAACAACAGCGGACTCGTCCTGCTTGATTTCCTGTTCTCTTTGCCGATATGTTCCTCAGGTAAGACACGACTCCACCTGACGTTACGGACCCGCAAGCCTGCACTTAGCCGTGTATGTGTGTCTGTTTCAGGGTCGTTTTGTTTAACCTCCGCCTGTGGCAGCGACAGCTGACGCGTCCTCGGCGCATTGGAAATGGCACACGGAGATAACAGAGAGAGACGTGCCCGTGTTGCTGTGATACACGATAAAAACATGATTAAGATTATACCTTCACCTCTACAGGACGACCAGTTCAGTCATTTTACCTGTAATCTGAAATAAACAGTCGATTACCTGTCGCGGTACTCAAACAAAGGATGTGGGAATCTTATTAGATGCATTAATCCCATCTCTTGATATTCCTTCTCCACACCAAGCCAGGGCGCAGAATAATCGTACGTCGACCCATCTACCCGTGTGTATCTACCTGTGTGTCTGCCGACCCATCTACCTGTGTGTATCTACCTGTGTGTCTGCCGACCCATCTACCTGTGTGTATCTACCTGTGTGTTCGCCGACCCATCTACCTGTGTGTACGTCTACCTATGTGTATTTACGTGTGTGTCTGCCGACCCATCTACCTGTGTGTACATCTACCTGTGTGTACATCTACCTGTGTGTGTCTGCCGACCCATCTACCTGTGTGTGTCTGCCGACCCATCTACCTGTGTGTGTCTGCCGACCCATCTACCTGTGTGTGTCTGCCGACCCATCTACCTGTGTGTGTCTGCCGACCCATCTACCTGTGTGTGTCTGCCGACCCATCTACCTGTGTGTATCTACCTGTGTGTACGTCGACCCATCTACCTGTCTTTCTGCCTGCCTATCTATCTACCTGAATGAGTGTTTATGATGTGATTTTGGGGGTTGAGGAGTGAAGAGACTTTCTCACTAGATTTAGTGACTTTGGGTTCTGGTGCTGCTGTCTACCAACCGGAACAGTTTTTAATATCTAGTGTTCTCTCTCAAGTCAAGATGAACACTCGTAGCTTTTTAAGAAAACACTAGCAAAAACACTGTAGTGGTGGATGTAAATTACCCTTTGCATGATCAATTTCTATTTCCCATATTATGTTAGTGCACCATATCTTTATTTATTTCATGCAGTTGCTTTTTTGATGCTATATCATATTGAATATTAGTCTAGAATAACAGTCACCGCATCTCAATCCAATTGAGCACCTTTGAGACGTGGTGGGACGGGAGAGTCACATCATAGATGTGCACCCGACACATCTGCATCAACTGTGTGATGTTATCACGTCAATATGGACCAACATCTGTGCTGTATGTTTCCAACACCTTGTTGAAAGTATGGCACCAAGAATAAAGGCAGTTCTGAAGGAAAAAAGGCGTCCAACCTTTTACTAGCAAGGTGGACCTAATAAAGTGGGTAGAGTCGAGCTTTCCATAGATGGATCGCAAACGTGCTACAGCCCGTTAAAAGGAAAGGAGAAATAATAAGTGACCTCCCTGTTGTTTCTAACAAACATCCCTTTCCTCACTCTGTTTCTTGGGCCGCAGGTGATCTCAGGCCTTTCTGTGAACCAGCCCCTCACCCATCCCTGCTGACGATGACATCGCCACCAGCAGAGTCCCCCGCTACCTCCCTGTCCCCTGGGCCCCAGGTGCGGCCCTCGGCTGCCCTGGACTCTTTGTCCATGTCTTCCCTGCTGTCTGGGGACTTAGACGATGAAGGTGATGGAGGAGGGGAAGAGGATGGCCTCGGAGACCTAGAAGTGAACCCCTACGACGGTTTGCCGTTTTCTTCGCGCTACTACGCCCTGCTGGAAGAGAGGCGGCGGTTTCCCATCTGGAGGCTGAGGCAGAGTCTGCTGGAGCACCTGGAGAGCCACAACATGCTGCTGCTCAGTGCGCCGAGCGGAGCTGGGAAAAGCACCCAGGTAACCGGGATCCAGCGGGGACGCGGTGACATCACGTGTGCTCTATGGAGTCACTGAGATCTATTCAGGTCAAACTCTTAAGATGTCGTGACAATTCTACACGTCAATACAGCTGCACAGAGCTGATATTAGTCAGTGTTTCTCGGGTGGATGGCTGAAACAATCATTTAATGGGGACTGCTTTATTTAAGTCAGTTGACATGGATTCTCAATGCACTCAGTGCTCCACCTTCATGTTTCAAGTAATTCTATTCACACTGCCTGTGCTTCTAAAACCGTGTGTAACCACTAGTGTCCCCAGTATTATATTACCACTTCCTTGTCTTTTCTCTTCTCCCCGCAGGTGCCTCAGTGGTGCGTGGAGTATGCTTTGTCCTATGAATTTTCTCAGGGCCTGGTGTGTTGTTCCCAGCCCCATTCAGTGAGCGCGGTGAGTCTGGCCCTGCGGGTGGCTGACGAGATGGATCTCAGTCTGGGTCTGGAGGTGGGCTACAGAGTGTCTCATGATGACAGCTGCACACCCGACACCCTGCTCAGGTTTGGATGCATGGACAGCGTTTATTGAAAAGGACGTGATATTCTCATGACTCTCATTTTCAGTTTCACTCATACAGCTGCCAGTAACTAAATGGAATTCAATGTCTCCCCGTTTTAATAATTCACAGTTTTTCACAAATTCAAACACTGCTTGTGAACTCCGATCAAACCTTTGGTCACACACGTTGTCTTTTTACAACGTAAACTAAAGTAAACAGCTTTCAGTTGTATGTATGTCAGTTACAGAAGTTAACTACAGTAACCTCGGTGTGCCCCGGGGATACTTAATAGGGCCTCAACAGGTCGAGTACAAGTGTGACACATGACATGTTTGTGAAAAGCTGCTCTTCCGAACTGTAGGGAATCCATCAAGTTAGTCCTTCCGAGCTTTGTTTTCCGAGCCGAGGCGGATTTGTGTCACGTGTAATAGTAGATACGCTAGTTGGGTATTTTCCTTTGCAGCCACGCCCCGACTCTTTGTTCTGTGTTCCTTTAGAGATCCCTGTGTCCTTTCCTGCACAATGATCGTGTAAAGAGAGGTCGTCGCTTACAGCCATTTAGCATCTCTTTGTCATGTGACGTTTGAGCCACTGGGCCAGTCTCATGTCTAAATGCTTTCAAATCTCTGTTTGTTTCTCCCCAGGTTTGTCAGTGACAGCCTCCTGCTCGAGGAGATGATGTCGGACCCTCTGCTGCATCAGTATGGCATCGTGGTGTTGGACGAGCTGCAGCAGCGCACCGTGCCCACCGACGTGCTGCTGGGTCTGCTCTGTGATGTCTGCCGCCAGAGGCCGGACAACTTCCGCGTGGTTCTCCTCGCTCACCCAACGCTGGCGCCCCGCCTCTCCACTTTCCTGGGACCATCAGTCCCTCACCTCACCCTGGACGCTGTGCTCCAAGACCCCCCCACTACGGAGCCGGAGGAAGGGAGCCAGGCGGAGGGGGGGAGGAGGCCTCCGATTGAGGCGAACCGGGTGGAGACGCTGTACAGAGAGCTTCCATCGGGGAAGGAGCCGGCAGCTGCTGCCTGTCACATGGTGCTGGATCTGCACCGGAGGGGAGAGGAGGGAGATGTGATGGTGTTCTTGGCCAGTGCTCAGGTACACGTCTACTAATCATGTATGTTACTCTTCCAGTCCCAAAAAAAACGTCTTTGAGCTGATGTAAATGACTTATCGGACGAAACACTACCCAGTTACTATTGTAAATACTGTTTGTAAGGAAAAGCTTTGAGTTCCACCAGAGTTGTGTTGTAGAGGAGTTAAACACCTCAACCTGAGAGGCCAGTGTCTTTCTCTCTCACACACACACACACACACACACACACACACACACACACACACACACACACACAGTCACAGTGTATCTGTCATGTGTTCTCCATCCATGTGCAAAGCCATCTGCATATGACCTATAGTTTATCCAACTCCCTCATGAACATTATACTCCCTTCATGTCAACAGCAGCACTGTTATGTTCCCTGCTAGGATCCGGCAACATAACAAAAACAAACGCGATGGAAAATAATGAACGTAGCAGCCAATAGCCGGCTCTGCTGGTGCACCCAATCAAGATGGATCCTCAATTAAGTCGTCTGCTGGGTTGCCTGCAAAACACGGAAAGAAAGATGCAGGCCACCAACAATGGTCGGGGATGTAACACTCCCGCCACTAAAAATCAACATGTACAAAAACCTGAAATTGAATTCTTATTGATATGTGCGAGACAGAGTGTCCGCCAGAATGTTCGCACACCCCTTCTTAAAACGAATTTCCAAGTTGAATCCTCGTAGATAAAGTGACCACCGCATGATGCGCTGGTTGGCATTTTTCATCCTGGAAAGAAACACAAGGGGATTATGGTGAGTATACACACATACAGGTGCTTCCTTCTCGATCGTACTAGAGTTCCACTGATGCTTTAGGAACTTTTTGGAGAAGTAAGAGACTGGGTGATCCAGTCCATCTGTGCCTTCCTGCAGAAGGAGAGCACCGCATCAACCTCCAGTTTAAACAGCACGTCAAAATTTGGAGCAGCGAGCACCGGAGAACTGCAGAGCAACACCTTGGCGTTTTGAAACGCAGTCTCACAATCAACAGACCGTGCAAAATCGGTGGTGTTACAAAGCCCCCAGGAACCGGCGCATCTCACGCTTGGTTTTGGGAGTCGGGAAATCAACAATGGCCTCTATCTTGGCCTCCACAGGGCGGACCTGACCTTGGCCAACTTGTTTTCCTAAGTATGTTACGGTGGCTTTTCCAAACTCACAAGTTCAAGGTCAGTGAGGCATCACGGAGCCGATGGAAAACGACGCGGATGAGCTCGAGGTGACTGGTCCGAGAGGATGAGTGTAGGACTGTGTCGTCTAGATACACCTCACAGTTCTGCAGGCCAGCTAAAACCTTACTCGTCAGGCGCAGGGAACTGGCTGGAGCGTTGCGAAGTCCAAAAGCCATGACTGAGTACTGCATGAAGCAGTCAGGGGTAACAAATGCAGAAATTTCGGCAGCATAGGGGGGTCAAGGGGACTTGCCAATATACCTTTAGCAAGTCAAGCTTGGTGACAAAACGGGCAGAGCCCACTCGGTCCAACGAGTCAGGCTTGGTCACAGCATTGACCTTACGGTAATCAGTACAGAAACGAAATGTTCCATCAGGCTTTGGAACTAAGATACACGGGGAGCTCCAGGCACTGGAACTCAGTTCAGCTAACCCGAGATCCACCAAGTACTGCACGTCTCATAGCAGCGCTTTTTGTCGGATTAAGTCGATAAGCATGCTGCTTGATGGACATATGGTCACCCACATCAATGACGTGAGTAAGGACATTAGTCTGCGATGGAACATTTGAAAACAACTCAGGAAAGAACTCTATCAACCCCCGGACATCATTAGCGTGAGAATCCGACAAGTGGGCAAGAATGTTAGGCAAATCCTTAAACATTTCCGAGTTCTGAAGACAAGGAAAAGAAACAGAGACGTCACAAAAACTCAGGCCGTCCTCCTCTGGAGAATAGGGGGAGACAATAGGAGTTGCAGAAACCGCAAGCACAGGGCGCACACTCGCAGTCCCAGGAGACATACGGCTTAAACATACTGATGTGACACACGTTACATTACGACGTCTGTCTGGCGTACCAATCGCATCGTTGTAGAAGCCATTCCACTACATTTGTATCGTGCATATTGAAACTGCCTTTTTTGTTGATTTATTTGTGATGATGTAATGATGACGTCAGGGGGCGTCGGCTATTTAAATGTCACCTGAGTAAGGCCAGGTGTGTTTTCTATTTCGAGAGCGGAAGGAGATACTATTTTGACCGCATTACGCATTATGCATTGCGCATTGAATTCTCCGTTTATTTTGAGTGTGATTTAGGTTGTTTTTGCCGAACAATAAATAAAGAATACTGAAGTGACAATACGAGCAAATGCGCGTTGATTTTACCGACCGCTCCTATAACAATAGTCAGTATCACTAATGAACCCCAGTGACTCATGAGTCGTTTCACGCACTGCGAACAAAAGCAGTGGGAGACCATCATCCTACTCTCGCGCAGAATCGAAACAGTAAGTGCGGAACATAAGACTTCAGCGTCTGGTGGAATCTCTGCAGACCCCCTTGAGACTGTGGATGATGAGCACTGGAAATACAATGTTGGATGGAGTGCTGCTGTAATACTTGTTTAAATAAGCGAGACAGGAAATTTGACCCCTGGTCAGTTTGAACGACCTTGGGCAATCCGAAAATCGGGAAAAAAAGGAATTAACGCCTTCACTACTGGCTTTGCCTTAATGGAGCGCAGTGCAACAGCTTCTGGGTAGCGTGTAGCGGCACACATGATGGTCAACAGGAATCGATGCCCAGATTTTGTTTTGGCAAAGGCTCTACACAATCTAAAATGATGCGTTCAAAGGGCTCCCCTATGACCGAAATTAGATGGAGTGGAGCAGGTGGAATAACCTGGTTAGGTTTACCTGCCACCTGGCAGCGATGGCATGAACGGCAGTGCTTCACCAAGTCAGACTTTAGACCGGGCCAAAAAAAATAGCGCAGGATACGATGGTAACTTTTCTTAATTCCTAAGTGACCGTCAAAGTCATGATCATGCCCCAACATCAAAACATGCAGCCTAAATTTAGCAGGAACCACTAACTGACAAACTGTATTCCATCCCAAATCTTGACTGTGAGTTGGAGTCCATTTCCGCATCCGTAGGCCATTATCCCAATAGTAATCCACAGATCTACTCACTAGGACCCCCTTCACCTGGCACCTGGACAATGACGGATCGATCTTCCGTTCCTGCATTATCAACTCCCTGTCAATGGGCTGTTATTTCCAACTGCGTGGTTACTTTTTGGTCATTTAAATACATTGCCACGGTGTCTGGAATGCAATTTTTAAACTCCTCCAACAAAATTTACTTTAAAGTTGTTCTCTGGACTGAGCATGTTGAGAAGTACACCATCTGTCAAATATGCTCTCTTTCTCTCTCGCAAACTCGACAAAAGTTAGTCTGTCTGATTTTCGAAAGGCCACGAAACATCTGCCTATAAGCTTCTGGGACCAACTCGTAAGCATTCAGAATGTCAGTTTTCACTGTTAAATATTCTGAACTCTGTTGCACAGTAAGAGCAGAATAAATAGCTTGTGCTTTGCCAGTCAACACAATTTGCAAAAGCAACGTCCAGACCTCGACTGGCCATCCCAACGTGACCGCAACTCTCTCAAAGTGAGTGAAATATTTCTCAACTTCGCTCATTAAAACGTGGAACCATCCGAATGTGACGGGTAACATCAAACGGTTGGCCTCGTAGTGGCAATGGCACAGGCTCAGGAGCAAGAGGAACATTGAATACATTAACCACTTGAGCATTCCCAATTAACGCACCTGTCAGAACATCGTGCAGAGGCGGGATGTTATTGCCACCCAAAGCACCCGTATAGGCCGTCAAAGGTGCAGAAGCAGCATGAACAGGCGAGCGAACAGGAGAAGAAGGCCATGAATCAGCTGGAGGAACTGGTGCAGTGATGGAAAGAATTTTTGTGGCTAATTCCAGCTCCAGCTTGCATAACCCGGACTGGCGTTCCTGTTCCGATGAACTGCTAGCAGCTGACAACTCAGAAGCAGGATGAAAAACAGGGCGTTCCTTCCTGAGGAAGAGGAAAGTCCTATCTACTAGGCCTGCAAAAACAGCCTTGAACAAAGTCTCCTTAAGCTTCTTATCATATGCTTGTAAGGCTAATGTCGTAAAACTCTGCAATTTGAACCAACTGGTTCTTTAGTACAACTCTGCAAAAGAACAAAAAGAACGGAATGGCTCTCAATAAACTCATCAACCACAGACATCCTCCTAACTATCGCCTACACAGAGCACAATCTAAAGTCACCCAAAGACACTACTTGAGAAGTCCAATTTCTACAGCAACCAACAGCACACATACGCCAAAACCAAAACCAAGAAATACCAAAAAAAATACATACAAGACCGACTCTTACGCACAGCCCTGCAACCCTGGTCCCTGAATAGTACCCCAAAACTAATTGACTAACTAAGCCACCAATATCTTCGGCGCGTACCAATTAGATACAAGTCTCCCCTCGGATTAACGGCAATAAACCCCCACCAAATCAACAAACAAAACGCTAAACTTACCAGCGGCCTTTGGTCACAGTGCGCTTCACACAGAGTGGAGTCAAAAATGTGAAAGCGGGAAAATGGACAAGCCCCCAATTTATTATGTTCCCTGCTAGGGTCCGGCAACATAACAAAAAATAACGCAATGGAAAATAAGGAACGTAGCAGCCAATAGTTAATTTATTATTATTATTTTTTTATTTATTGTTCTTGAACATGGTGGCAGCCAAACCAGCCACATGCTTCTTGTCCTCTCCCGACCCCCCCTGGATGATGTGTTTTAAAGGGGCCGGCTCTGATGGTGCGCCCAATCAAGATGGATCCTCAATTAAGTCGTCTGCTGAGCTGCCTGCAAAACACGGAAAGAAAGATACAGGCCACCAACAATGGTCAGGGATGTAACCAGTGTTTCTATTTCAGACGGAGCGTGTTTGTGTACCTCCTGTTAATCCGCACACACTCACACAGTGCAGTCACACCAACCAAATCACAGAGAGACACGGTGGCCTCGTGTCGGCTGACTTCAGCGCCCTGTGGAGGGCTTGAGGCCGATGTTCAAACTGAAGCTCCGTTCTCTCCGTGTAGGAAACCGAGGCGTGTTTGGCTCTGCTGGAGAAGGAGTGTGTAGCTCTGAGTCCTCAGCTCGGTCCTCTCAGGATCCTCCCCCTCTATGCTGGACTGGGTGGGCTGACCCAGCGGGTCTACGAATCCAGCCCCGAAGATTCTACACTAAGGGAGAGCGACGGCTCTGAGGGCCTGGATGGCTCGGGGCGGGGAGCCAAAGGTCAGGGGGTGAAGAGGAAGGTCATTCTGTCCGATAGCCTGGCAGAGGCTTCCTTTTCCCTGCCAGCCATTCGCTACGTCATAGACACAGGCCTTCAACTCAAAACTGTGAGTTTGTTTTCCTACCGGACTAAATGTCATGATTATTTTACAAATGGTATTAGTGAAATAGGCGAAATGTCTGCTCATTGGTAGTTTGTATTGTTTTGAAGCTCGTGCGATTACACTCCGACCCAAAGGAAAGATTTTCTGACATTTCCCTCTTCTTCCACCAAAGGTTTACAATACACAGATACGAGCTAACTCGCAGGTTGTGAGGACGATCAGCAAACACCAGGCTGACATGAGAACGCAAAGAGTGAACAGCCACCTCCCGGGTAGGTCAAAGGTCATTGCTGCTGTTCTTATTACCAGCTGATGTAGTTCTACGTGGATTTCACTCAATGAACTTCTTTCTGTTGTTTAGGGCTGTGTCTCCGTCTTTACGCCCAGTCCCTGTACGAGGACGGCATGGAGGAGGCTCATTGTCCAGGGGTGGTGGAGGAAAACCTGAGCCACTTGGTGCTGTTGCTTAAGAGGCTTGATATTGCCGACATGGGACAGTGCAAGTTCCTCGACCGACCAGGTACCTTCACGACTTCTTTGATTAACACTTGGTAGCAACTGTGACGGCAGTGTGTGGGAGTCATCAGTGCTGAATGTGTTCCTTGGGGGACCGACTGTAACGGGACAGACCACCCAAGAGCTTTTCACGTCTCTACCAGGGAAACGCAGGACGGGTTGATTTTGGTAGACCATTTGAAAGCACTACCACACCAGCAGGATGGTTTTACACCTGGAAGTTCTCTAAAGGCCGTGAGCCAGCTGGCATGTTGCTGCAGTGGACATTGTACTGTGCAGTGCTACTGTCAGCGCCGGGATGGGCTGCGATCACGTCTACTCGTGTGACGGTCTTAGGCCGTGACTACTTATTCTTGGCAAATGAAGTGCAGTTACTTGGTGTTTGAGGAGGAGGCCTTATAGGTACATGAAATCCTCCTCAGGGAGTCGCTGGGGGCATTTAGCAATCTCGCCCAGGAGCTGTGCCGAGACGGTGCAGGTTTCCAGCGTGGTCTATTTTGGGGCCACCGGTAACTAAGGTAGTAAGTTACAAACAGGGCTTCACGTTAACATTTTTGCTCACCAGCCACTGTGGCTACTGGTTTTCCAAAGCTATCAGTCACTCAGCAATTTCATTAGCCACAAGTTTTATTGTTGGGAAATTGAGTTTAATGTGATTAAAGTTGACTACGGTTTGCTACAATTTACTTGAAGAACTATATTTACAATTGGAGCTTTACCAAGTGTGTAAAAACTGATTCAGACAAAGACAAAAACAGTAGCTCATTGCATATAACTGGTGCAGGAGGACTTTGTTGTCTTCGTCCGTTCAGTCGCAATGCTTTCGAGGGAGCCAACTAAGATGTCATTGTCCTTTATTGTCTCCACTGTGAAGTTGCTTCTCCCAACTACAAAAAAGAACCCTTGACCCTTTCACTGCCGTACGTCCTATAATCAGTGCAATACATTATTTTCTTGGCTGGATCATAAACCAGCCGTTCGCTAGTCTCCTCTTCATTCTTTATTGTTGTGCCTGGGAAGAGCTACTGCGGTGTCTACCAACAAGTACAGAGTGTGGATGTCTCCTCTTCCTCATCGATAGAGCTCCATTAGGTCCCTTCATCGCTCACACTGTACTTCATTTAGACTCAGTCCCACATACGCCGCCCTGCTCACACAAATACTCCACACACTAACACTGCCGTGCACTACAGCACTTTGCAGAGCAGTTGGAGTCCTCCCTTCTTCTGGTCCTCCACATTTATTTTCCCTCCATGCGTGTCTCCTTCCCAGCCCCGGAGGCTCTAATGCAGGCCCTGGAGGACCTGGACTACCTGGCAGCACTGGATGACGACGGGAACCTGTCAGAAGTGGGCATCATAATGTCCGAGCTGCCCCTGGAGCCCCCGCTGGCCAAAGCCCTGATCGCTGCCTGCGAGTACGACTGTGTAGATGAACTGCTCACGATAGCCGCCATGCTTACAGGTAGAAAAAAAGGAAAAGAGGGAATCAATTGGAAAACAATGGACATGACCATGTAAATATAGATATGTGTAAATGTGCTCTCGATGTGGTTTTTCTTCTGTCAGCTCCTTCCTGCTTTGTGGCAGCGGAGACCGCTGTCACACACTGGAGACCCCTGATGCACCCGGAGGGAGACCACATGACTCTCATTAATATTTATAACAACTTCATCGAACGTACGTATCACATCATCTTCATCACGTGAAGTCAGCGAGTCACTGATCATGGGTTCTTCTCATGAGGCCTCGGAGCAGACATGTCCACGAGTTTGACTGGTCTCTGGTGATTGCAGATAATCAGGACGAGGCGTGGTGCACGACCAACTCCCTCAGTCACGCTGCCTTGCGATTGGCTGTGGTGATCAGAGCGGAGCTGCTGGAGGTGATGCAGCGAATAGAGCTTCCTGTTTCTCCTCCTGCTTTTGGATGCCAAGACAACTGCACCAACATCAAACGGGCTCTCATCTCGGGCTTCTTCCTCAAAGTAAACACCCCGTTGTCCCATCAGCCCCAGCTCTTCTTTGTCTTCACAGCTAACTAGCACATGTTAGCTACCATGCTAACTTAAGATAGTGAACATGTTAGCATGCTAGCATACTGATGGCTCTGACCGCGGCGGCTTGTTGAACCTAAATGCATTGTTTTTGTTCTCGCATTGTTTTTAGTTTTTTTACCAGCAATTTCTAATGTTTGAAATGTCTACAGAAAAAACAGAATGACACAGAATTTTCACATGTTAATAATGCAATGTATAACATACCTTTCCTGTTGGAATTATGTTTGACAGAAAATAGTTTTGAGCGTAACACCCAAACTTCCTAACTAACGGGGCATATTTTTAAGAATCAGCTACAAAACAAATGTGTGTTTTTTATCTTTTTCAATGCGGAACCTAATATTAGAAAATCAGTGTGCCGGTCTAACCCAACTTTTAATTTCACACCTTACCTACTTCTTCTTCTGCACAGGTGGCTCACGATGTGGATGGCTCGGGTAACTACCTGCTGCTAACTCACCGCCACGTGGCTCACCTGCATCCCTTCTCCTCCTACCTGTGTCGGCAGCCGTGCCCCAAACCCCCGAGCTGGGTCCTGTACCACGAGTTCACCATCTCCTGTGACAACTGCATCCGCATCGCTTCAGAAGTCCACCCTCAGATGTGAGTGACACTGCTAGTTATGTTTCTATGGATTCAGATTTACTTTACCAAACATAAAATATGTATTATATTATTCACTTCAGACGTAATCAATAGTTATTTCTTTTGAATGTTGTACTGCCCCTGAGGACTCGTCAATAACGGGCCACGATAGTAAAACCCTCTCTGCTGTAGGCTTGTGGAGCTGGCCCCCCAGTACTACCTGGGGAACCTGCCGTCAAGTGATGGCAAAGAGCTGCTCATGGAGCTGAGGCAGAGTCTGGAGCCCCAGTCATGTGACCCGGACCCGGGGTCAGACGAGCCCAGCAGGACTCGCAGAGACGCAGACGGGACCGGAGAGACTCACAGTCAGTCCGGCACCGAGCTCTGTGTTGTCCAATGAAGACACCAAACACACAGCAGTCACTTTGTACTTTGATCTGAAATCGTGGTACTATATATAAATGTGGGTTTAATCGTCACACGTGTGATTTCAAATGGACCTTTACTGGAAATCCCCCATTGTACAGCGATGTATGTAATGTCTCATATGCAGTGGCTTTGGGAAATATTCAAACCCGTTCATTTCTCCTTGTTGTGATCCGTTTTATTTAGAATGATGTGTATTTCATGAGGGACTTGTGTTTCTGTTCTTCTATAAAGCAAATAGTGTGCTCGTAGTGTGTAATGGCTTTATGATTGTGGGTTGTTGTGTGCATAGCAGCAAACACAGCCGTTGTCCTTTGGGTGGTGCAGCACTACACACATTGGAAGGAGTGGAGGAAATACATGTCACATGTTGGTAAAACACTAGACTTCAGCTAATAGCAATATGCACTACAGTGAGCAGAAGCACTGTAATGGTTGACCTTTGACCTCTATGCAGATGCTCATGGACAGATGGCTTCTCAGGGCTTACTGTGATCCACAGAGCTTCTATGTGCAATGTTTTTATACGGTTTGTATAATAATTTGCCTTTCCTGCTTAGATTCTTCTCTTTTCACTCCATCTTTGTGTGAGTAATAAAACATCCTATTTAATAGCATTTCCTTCTATACAGTACATCAATACAAATAAAAGTGTTTTTTTCATGTTGGAAATATTTCAACTGAGGGATTGTTTTTGTTCTAAAGCTACTATAGTTGATCACTACCATACTTGACTACATTAACTGGGTGGACCTTGCGCTTTGCTCGGGTTCCTGTATGCGTTGAAGCTCAAACGTCATCTCGCCTGGAGGATTGTGCAGACGTGCAGAGGTCAGACCTCATGCACACAAAAGGACTTCACCAGTTTATCGTAGCCACATTAAGTTGGTGAGAGATAGCTGAACCGGTCAAAGGCGAGGCAGCAGACTGCAGGTCTTCCCACAATGCAAATTGACCAACCGTGAGTATGTCACAGGGTTATTTTCATTTCTTTTCTCCAGCTGAGCTGCAGACGGTGTTGCCTCTTTCTGCCAAATGAGGTATCAGGTCCGCTGCTTCCTCTTTAACAGCCGCCTTCGTCTTTCTATTTCTATAGTCGGGCCAAAAGCAGAGTGGAGGATCTGCTGTCCAGTTTAGAATTGGGAAATATGAATTACAGATAACACACATGAAAAGTTTACTTAATAAATCATTTTTGGGTGGACGTGCTCACGACCTCAGTATCTCCATCTGTTTGCAGAAAGGACTCAGTCCACGGCCTGAGTGCAGGGTTTGCGTAATCATCTATTTGTATTTATTTTCATCAGTGGTGTAGATGCTTGCGGAGGAAGCCTTCAGCTTAGAAGCTGCTGATCATGGGCTGCTTCATCAGAGCAGCGTCCCTTGTGGCGTGGTACACACACTCTTTCTGCTTGAACATCTTCAGCTCCATCTCAGTCTGCATGCGCATAGACTGAAGGCACAAAAGAGCAAGACAACAATTGAATAATGCTTGAATAATTTCCATCAGTCAGTAGAAACATATATTGGCTGTACTCCTGGAAGTAGTCTAGAGCATTAAAGTACCTCCAGGTCCCTGGTGATTGGGTGGTTGGGTCCATGTGTCACCATGAGGATGGCAACGGCCCGGCAGATGAAGCCGTGACCCACTTCTATCTGCCCTGCATGCCAGTGGGCGACACCGGCCCGCATGATGGCCAGGCCCAGCTGAGCATTATTGGGGTTGTACAGTTTCCTGCAAAAACAAATCCCGTGGAGAGCCGCCCCCAATCATGAACGCATACTACTAAAACCAACAAGTATTGTGTGTATATTAATGCTAACATTTTGCATCCCATTGGGCTCCATCGAAATGAGAAACTGTTTTTTTGATGTGCACAAGTGACACAATGATGTGTAGATTGAACAGGTAGTTTAAAGAATTTCAATTCTAATCTGAGAAATGTAGTATTATACAAACAAATGGAACATGAGGAGTTAGAACATAGACCACAGCCTCGTACTCACATGTATCCCTCCACCATCCTGCGGGCGTAACCTGCAGCCTCAGAGAAGGACTGCAGGTACGAGAGCACCTCGCTGGCAACGCTGAGCACGCGCAGCACATACAGGTGAGTGTCGGCTAAGACGTTTTCCTGCTTCTCCAGACAATCACGGCACAGCCTCACAACCTGAGAGAGGGCCAAGGGGCCGACGGGAAGACAGTGAACCATATGAGGTGGAGGCAACGAGAGAGACAAAGAGCTGAGCAGTGCTGTCTACCTCGTGGTAGTCCTTCTCAGCGCGGAGCCTCTCGATCTTCTCCACACACTCCTTACTGAACGCGGTCACCTCTTTAACCTTATCAGCCGAGGGCTGAGAGGGAGACACAAGGACAACATCCAACAGGAACATTCACTATTTCCATCACCACAAACGTGACATAAAGATGTGACAGATATGATGTAATGGCAAACTTTGTTCCCCTCGCTCTCTGCAGCAGCCGTCATCAGGTCGTCCTTGACGTGCTCGCTGCACTGTTCACAGCTGCACTGGAAGTGGAAACGCTCCTGCAGCTTCTTCTGGCGCCCAGTGGACAGGTTGAGAAAGTCCACGTAGCTGACGGTCAGCTCCTCACCCTCTGAGATGTGACCCGCAGCTCGCAGCTCGATCCTGGGACGGGGGGGGGGGGGACATGAGAGGGGTCTCATCTTCTCGTCTTACACACTACTTCATGGTGACACTGGACTTTCTTGCTGCATTTTTTGAAATGTTCTTTATCTGTTTACTTATCAGCACTGATGCACATTAATTGACATCTTTGTACGTGTGTTTTTGTTTGCTACGGGTCATACTCGGTCATTTTCATTTAAGAAAGTCACATTGGCTGCAGTACATACCGCCTCTGAGAGTGTAGAGCAGAACTCACGGCTGACTGGCTGCAAATGAAAGCGTTACCGAGTCAGGATGGTTCACAGTTCCATTATTCTAGTTACTAGGATACTCTCGTAGTAGATGTTCAAATACAGAGCTGACCTGGTAGGAAGCAGTGGTACCTACTTGCCGTGGTTGAGAATGACGCTGCAGTTGGGCCAACAGTCGTGGTTGACCAGACCAAGGTTGGGGAACAGACCCACACCCACAGCCTGCAGGCCTCTCTGGTCACTCAGTGTGACTCCATTACACTTGATCTACAGAGAGAGACATGAGGGGGAGGAGAGGATGGAGGGTCCGAGGACAATGAGAGGGACAAAGTACAGTGTGTGTTTGTGACGCTGTCTTTCCTGGGCACTTCAATAAATAATAATCATGTTATCTGAGCAATAACAATCAGTCATTGTTACGTTCCATGGATGTGTGAGATGTCGTCGACGGAAGGCTGCTTCTTCCGTAAGAGCAGTATTCCAGGAAGGTGTCACATCCGCCTTGAGCTGCTGAGGTCTCCTTCGGTAGGTCAGCCACATGGGCCTCCAGGTGGTCCACTGACACCAGCTGACTGTCCGACACAATGCCGGTGTCCTTGTGTATACACCACAGCGTACGAGCAGCCAGACTGGGCAAGACAAGCAGGGAAACCATTCAGAATCATGTGTCCACCACTGTGTCCTTTCCTGTGCTATACCAACTAGTCCATCATATAGTACCCTATACTACACTATTCTATTATACACCACACTATTCCATCATATAGTACCCCTATACTACACTATTCTATTATATACCAACTATTCCATCATATAGTACCCTATACTACACTATTCTATTATATGCCAAAGGATTCTATCATATAGT